CCCTTCCTTCTAGCTGTTATTAGCAGGAAAATCATGAATTTTCTATTGAAATCGATGTAGATCACTTGGGAACAATTTGGGATATTTTAGGGGCTAATATTCACCGAATATATTAGAACAAAAGTTAATTATAGAAATTGAAATTACGTGGTGTGACTAAACATAACCTATCATACAAAAGTCAGCGAACAACAACAACAAGCACTTTCGACACGTGAATTCCACGAGGTTAGTGTTCTTTTTTTAAAAAAAGTGCTGTTCACGTCTTTAACTATTGACTTCAACGCCTTCAGATAATATGGAAGACTTTGTTCCAACTCGTTGTGCCCAAGTGAACAAAAACCTTGCGAACGACTTCGTGAGTGTCAAGTACACAGCCCACAAGAAGAAAATCCCATCCCCAAACGACGATTCTAAAAGCAAACTGGAGCCAGATGCTGGCAAAACCTCGGTTGAGGACGCGAGACGTCAACAGGAGCGCGAGATGAAGAGACTCCGGTGGGATGTCATGAAATTTGGAACCTCTGGGTTCTCAGGGGCCAGGAAGAACAAGGCTAAAGTCGCTCTTGTCCTCCAGCTCGGTGGGAAACCAGTGAAAAGTCGGAAGAACGAGAATTATAGAGAACTTAAGGTGAAGAAGGCCAGGGAGAAGGCGAGGATCGAGAGGATCAAGAAGCGGGAGTCGGGCTTTGCTCATAGTTTAGTTAAAGTTAATGCTAAGACGAAGAGGAAAAAGGAGTCAGGTATTTTGGATGTCTATGGGAAGGTCGAAAAGAAGAAGAACGTGAGGAGATAATTACAATTATTTTTTAAATTTTATTATTATTCACTATCTACGATTTTTCAATTTTTTTTTCATAGTCTTTTGATGATTTTTGGTAAATTCAGTGAAATTTATTTTTATTTTCGAGACAATTCAATTTTTTAAGAGATAAAGAGTGAAATTGGTTATTTTTATTGTTCATTGCCAGATTATTTGAAACGTAATTGATTTAGAGAGAGAAATTACTGAAATATTTTTTCGAAATTCCATAAACTGTGAAAAAAAAATTATTAAAAAGCTACAAAAAATAAGAAAGTAGATGAAAATGAAGAGTCGATCCCAATTATCTTTAAAATGTTTTTATTACTGATCTACAATCTCTCAATTTCTCCGTCTCCATAACTTCGTCATTAATTAATCATCACATATTGTAATCTACCCGACAAACAACAAGTAATAAAATAATATACATTTGTATAATATATAAATAATCTTCGTTTTATCGGATGCCCCAATGGAATGATTCGGCATTGATAAACTGTTAGTTCTCTCTCTCTTTAATTCCTTATGTTTCTTATTTCGATATTTGAAAATATTTTATTTCAATCGGGAACTGAATGATTCGTCAGTCAATCGTAAGCGGCTGCCGTTGGCGCCACTTCCAACAGCATTTGGAGAAAGACATTGACAGCCTCTGGAAATTAAAAATTTCATTATTTAATTTTAATGCAGAAATTAATAAATTGAGAAGAAAAATTCAGTTGTGAAGTTGGAATTGAGTATTTCGTTAATTACACTTTTATCTCGTTAACGAGCGCTTTCGGGAAAAATTGTTGATAAATCTTTTTTATAGCTGAGAAAATTCCCTACAAAAAATGTATTTTGACATTTTCTCTTAAACCTCTACCCATCGAGCCAATTTAAAGTTTAAAATGAAGAGAAATACTTCATAAAACCATGAATTTGTAATTAAGTACTTCTTTAATTACACTTATCTCGGTAACGAGTGCTTTTAGAGAAAAATGTCAATAGACCTTTTCTATAGTTGAGAAAATTATCTACAAAAAACTATTCCTGACATTTTCCCCTAAATCCACTCCTTATCGAGATAATTCAGTAATGGATAAAATGCTCAAAACAAATTTTCACTTTTAATGTGTTTTTTAAAATTAAATCCCTTCACAACTGAATGGATTTTAAAAAATGCGCAAAATGAACTCTTACCCATAAACTTGGGCACATATCCGTACTTAACAAACGGGAGGTAGACAAATATACCAGCAGCGATAAAAGCTGCGGCATAAACATACTCAATCTGCGGTTTATCAATGATTGGAGCAACAATCAGGTACACGGATATCCCTAACACGAGAATGGGTATAACAAGCGGACACTTGTAGGGTCTAGGATGATTTGGCCGGGTTTTTCGCATAACCAGAAGAGCCAGCATCGAGCCACCGTAGAATATCCAAGCGGTGAACGAGAAGAAGTCGATGAGTGAGTCTATGTTCCCAGAGAGGACCATCGTTGCTGCAGCAATTGCACAAGAAAAATTTAACCCATACGTCATCATTACGATAATGAGAGCATCAAATATTTACCGGCCACGAGTGAGTGGAAGATGAGACCTGGGGCCGGTGTGAAACGGCGCACGTGCACGTAACTGAGACAATCCAGGAGGTGACCTTGACGCGATGCGGCGAAGCACAGGCGTCCAGCGGCGAAGAGAGTGCCATTTGCTGAGCCAAATGTACTCACTGCCACTGAGAATGGCATCAGCCATGCCATCACTCCGAGAATGCGATTTCCGAATGTCTGTGAATAAAAGATTTTTTTTTTTTTTNTTTTTTTTTTTTTTTTTTTTTTTTTTTCATGCATTATGGAATCAAGTTGGTGGTTGAGAGAAAGGAAAAATGAGATGATTACATGAATTTCTTTGGATTAACATTAAAAAAAAAAAAAAAAAAACAGGAAAGAATAAGAAGCTTTCAAAGTCAATATCATGATAAAATCTATTGACTGCGAGTGAAATGTTGGAGAATGGAGTTAAGCGGGAACAATGGGAATTCAATTGGCTCTTGGAATATAGTGTGAAGGCGATAGTTCAATGAAGGGAGGAACTCTCATTTTTTAATCTCGTCGAATATGAAATTTTCTCTGCAACGAGATCCGCAATTACATTTACTCATTACAATTTACCCCTTTGCTGCTTATAATCAATTCTCGAAATAATACGATGAATATTCATCCAAAACAGAGCAATTCATCTCCCCAGGGCATTTCACCTCCTTCCCCCCTTCAAATTGTGCGCCAAAAGCCCTAGAAATTTCACTTTAAACCTTTCCACCTGAAACTTTTAATTGAATTCCCTCAGTCCTCCGAATCAACTCCAATTCCGAAAGCCATTATTCCCAGAACTCCAACTCAAATGATCTCTTCAAAAATTCAATTCCAATTCAAGTCTCAATCCCTCGAACTCCCCCTCAGCCTCAAAAAAAAGCTCTTCGATAAATCAATTTCCAAACGAACTCACCACAGCCACAGCCTCGCTCTCAATCATCTCCGTGGGTGACATGACGGCAAGATACGACAGATTGATAAGCGCATAGCAAACAGTGACCAGGGGAATTCCAATCATGATGGACCTGGGAAGATTTTTGGAAGGGTCCTTGATCTCCTCGGTGACATAATTAAGATTATTCCAGCCGTCGTACGCCCACAGCCCAGTGTAGAAGGCGGTGGCCAGTCTCCCCACATTGACGAGATCGCCCCCGTCCATGGGTTGAAAGGCCCCGTTGAGATGCTGAGTGTTTCCCTTAGCGAGTGACCAAGTCCCACCCGCAATGACCACGAGAATGGCAATGAGTTTGGCTGCGGTGAAGGCATTCTGCACCCCAGTGGCCAGATTAACGCTGTAGCAGTTGACGAGAAGAATGAGAATAATCGCCAGGAGGGCGACGAGCTTGACGAGATGCTCTGGGGGCTCGCAGTCAACGGCAAATGCCTCCACTGCGTACTGGGCAAATGAGAGACAAATTATTGCCATCTGCGAGGGCTTGAGAACGAGTGTCGATGTCCAGGAGAAGAGAAATGCCGGTGGTGCACCGAATGCATCCATGAAGTACGCGTACTCAGCGCCACTGCTTGTGTTCATTGTTCCAAGTTCAGCGTATGCAAGTGCCCCGAAGAGGCTCAGTACACCGCACGCTGTCCACACAAGGAAACTAACGCCAATGCTACCAGTGCGCACTAGTAAACCCGAGGGTGATACAAATATTCCAGATCCGATCATTGTACCGACGATTAGAGCCACCCCACTGACGAGTCCCACCCGTCTCTTGAGGTGAACAGGGTCGTTCGTCTCTGGGTCCTTCCCCTCCAGCCCTCCGCACCCTTCGTCTCCCGTTTGGTTGTGCACCACAGGTGCACCCAGTCCATTTGTCTCGTATGAGTCACTTCTACGGAATTTCCAACGGTTACGACTGCTGCTTGGGGCCGGGTCACCTGTGCATGGTATATCCAGGGGACCGTTTCCGTGAGGTGACTCGTGGGTTGGTGAGGTTTCATCCCTGCCAGTTGCTGAAATATTTGGGAATTTGGGGTTAATTAGGCGGGTGGTAATTGAATGGGGATGACAGTTTGGGTTGGGGGTTTATGCGGTCTTCTTCAGGGAAGTTTATTCACCTAGTCAAAAGAAATTAAAGTCCTTTGGCTATTTTTTCACCCGTGAAATGGTTTTCTACTTTTGCGATGACTTTAGTATTTAAATTTTGCAGGTCTGAATTTGAATCTCGTTATTGCAACGTTAGAGAATATTTTAAAAATTTGGAAAACAATTTGAAAATTGCAATTTTAGAAAATTACGTGCATTTTCTGTGAATAATTTGTAAACAATCAATTTTCCAATCACCATTTAATCGCCAACAGTTGACAATTTGTTTCGGGGGCTGATGTCTCTAAAGATGGCTTTGAACCAAGGGAGACTCCTAGACCCCAATGTTCTATACATCCTCCTAGACCCCATTATCCTCCTAGACTCTCTGCTTTTCAATTGAAAACCCGAGTTGAAAACCCGAGTTGAAAACCCGAGTTGAAAACCCGAGTTTGTAGCAGCGATGTCAGACAAGATATGAATGTTTTTTTGGGCTCAAATGAAAGAGCGGCTCGAGAAATGGCGTTCTGATGCCTCTAAAGATGGCTTTGAACCAAGGGAGACTCCTAGACCCCAATGTTCTATACATACTCCTAGACCCCATTATCCTCCTAGACTCTCTGCTTTTCAATTGAAAACAGACATCATCTTCAGAGACATGTGTCATGTTTAGAGGCCCTAGCACGCCATTTCTCGAGCCGCTCTTTCATTTGAGCCCAAAAAAACATTCATATCTTGTCTGACATCGCTGCTACAAACTCGGGCCTACAACTCGGGCCTTTAATTGAAGACCCGAGTTGTAGACCCGAGTTTGTAGCACAGATGTCAGACAAGATATGACTGTTTTTTTGGGCTCAAATGAAAGAGCGGATCGAGAAATGGCGTGCAGATGCCTTTAAAGATGGCTTTGAACCAGGGGAGACTCCTAGACTCCAATGTTCTATACATACTCCTAGACCGCATTGTCCTCCTAGACACTGCTTTTCAGTTGAAAACAGACATCATCTTTAGAGACATTTGTCATGTTTAGAGGCCCTAGCACGCCATTTCTCGAGCCGCTCTTTCATTTGAGCCCAAAAAAACATTCATATCTTGTCTGACATCGCTGTTATAAACTCTGGTAAACATAATTTATAAACAATCAATTTTCCGCCACAAAAATCATTTGCTCGGAATCGTAACAATGTTTAAAAAAATAATAATTCTATACAAAATGTTATTTGAATCACGCTGAATATTCATAATTTTGTTCAAATTTTTCTTACGCAATTCACTTAGCATATTCGATGACTGTAAATGACTTTCAAAAATATTTGTATATCTTTAAATAACACATCAGAACACATAAAAACACTTTAAAGACCTCGAAAACTACCCCAAACTATCAAAACAAAATTTTAATGCATTCAATATTGAAAAAAGAGGAGATATTTATTGAAAATTTAAGCCGTAATAGGATCGACGCGTCTGAATAATCTTAGCTCCCTCGGGAACTCGTGATATCATCAAAGTTTCGTCTCACGATCATTAAAATCACTCATGAGGAATTTATTACTCTAGAGTGATTTTTGTTTTAATAGGGGGAAATTGTCATCTGGTGTATTGGAATTATTTAGAAACGAGTGAACGGTTGTCTAAAGGTGACCGCGGACGCTGCTATTCACCGTATTGACCTGAATGGCATTTTCTCAATGTCATTACTGCAGTTAAAACGTAGGGAATGTCGATATGAATGAAAATAGCTGACAATTCTGCGATTTCCTGGGTTTACAGGGTATTACGACTCAAATGAAAAACCGAAGAGAACTGTCCATTTTTTGTCTTTTGAAATGTTGAATTATTTCGAAAACTAGTGGTTTTAGAAGGAAATGTCCGAGAACCTTTTTTGTAGCTCATGAAATTTCGCACAAAAAATCTCTTGTGACATTTTCCTCTAGACCCCCTTGTTACCCAGATAATTGAACATTTATGAAACAATAAAAATTGTCTCTTCAACATTCGCAGCTTCAGTTCCGATCAGATCATCTGCGCGTTGAAAAACTCGATAACATTTTTAGAACGCAAAAAAGACATACAATTCCTGAAGGTAATTTGAGCCCCGGCGTCACGTTCAATCACTCCTCATTGTCCAGGCGTTACACTCTCGTGGTTTCACAAGTGGCGTCGGATTTCAATTAAAAACTCTTCATCGCAGAAGACGAAAATAAAATCAGAAGAGAATAATCATCTACGAACGAGTCGATTCGTCAATACTCGTATGAATAGACCGGGGGGAAATTTTGACTGAACTATATTTAATCGCGTCGGAGGTAGTTATTTCGATCTGTCCACCGCGTGAGTATCACTAAAATAGACAGTGCCATACTGTTGAAAAATCCACTGTCTGCACTTGACTCGATTTCCTTGAAATTCGTCCAAGAGACCGAGATTCATCGAGAATATTCACCGGAAACTATTATTTCAAAATTTTCAATCCCCTATTTTATTAGTGGGACGACGCAATCAACGCTCGTACTACTGGAGACCGAATTACGTAATCCATATTATATGGAGAAATTCACGAATATGTTGGGGGGGGGATAAGATGGAAGAACGCTAATGATTCATGGGGGGAATCTCCAGCTGTTGCACGTGTAATTGATGGGGGGGGAATCCGAGTCAATTATATAGCCCCGAAATGTATTGGACAGCGTTACCACGCGTCCGTACGGACAATCAATTGAACTCAAGGTGATGGCAATTTATAAGTACACAGCAACCGCCTCAACTTTGTTTAGTTGCAAAATTGCGTTATAGGAGAGGAATCGATTATGCTTATCTTTGTAAATGTCGATTTATCTTGGTAATGAGGGGTTTTAGGAGAAAATGCGAAAAGGCATTTTTTGTGGGAAATTTCCTGAGGTTCAAAAAAGGTTGAGTGCATTTTTGTCTCAAAACCACTCGTTTAGGAGATAAATTAACAATTGTAAAGTACTAAATTCATGTTTTCGTGGTTTACTTCATTTTGGATGTCTCAATCTCACGGAAAAATCTTTAATTACATTTTTTGGTCGAAATGTTGGAAATTGGAAGGAATTCCCAAATTTCCATTTCTCATTTCAGTAGCGAAGCGGTCAGTTTTCAATGGATATCTCGAAATCTAAGGCAGATAGCAAAATTTTTGTCATGACCTTTTTCGTAGCTTTCAATTCGCCCTACAAAAAAGGTCATGACAAAAATTTCGTTATCTCCCTTCAATCGGGAGATATTTCTCGAAAACTCTCCCCCCTTTCACTACCGATTTCCTCAAACCTCGAAAATCCCAATAATGATTGATTTTAGGGTAAATATATCAAGAAATATCCCCTCAGAACTTTTCTCTTCTAAAAAATTAAAAAATCCTCTCCCCGCAATTCCACAAAATTTAACAAAAAAAAAAAAAAAATTCCCCCATCACCACTGGATGAAACGCACGTGTCCCCCCCTCCAAATGACGAAAACCCATCGCGAAATTGCACCATTCCGTCCAACAAGCTTTATTCTCAGTCTGAGTACGACGAAAATAAACAAGTCGCGTCGCTCTCTTAAATTGGCGCGAAAAAAACTATTCACCGAGTGATATTGAGTTGATTGAGTTAACTGGATAAGCAGGCACATTCATTGGCTAAATCACGAGGCCCCAGACCCCCAGAAACTCCGTAATTCCGAGAATGAGAGCGAGTATTGGGATCAATTGATGAGCGACGCAGAAGAGATAAAAATACACCTCAAAAAAATTAAAAATTAAAAATTTCAATAACAAGATGAAATGTCTTACCTCGTTTGAAAGGCGCGGCATGCATGACTCTAGGAATGAGTGATAAGAAGGGCGGATCGTGAAACTGCCTCTCATGACACTTTGCCGACGTTAAATAATATCTACCACTCTGTCCTCCTCGGTCTCTTGTGGCTCTTGACCAGTAACTCGTTTATGACAAAGTCCCCTCGTGTCAACTGCAGGTTTCTAGCAATTAAACTCAAGTGTCTCGAGTATTAAAGCCGAAATGTTGCTCGTCTGCGCTGTTTACTTATCTCGTTTTACTCTGCAAAAATTGGCGAACTGAACGGTCACAAGAGGGATCGGGGGGAGGGGGGGGGGGAATTATTCAAAATAGTGGACTCGGGCGAACGCAATAACTCGTGACAAAATGGGCGTGATGCAATTGACGATATTTCGCCGGCTGTGATACTCAATAGGAGAGACTGATGTACACTCGGGGTGTGAGTGAACAGTTGTGCCCACCGGCCGCTTCTGCTCGTACATTTTCCCCTGGCGTCGGCGCCACCGCGTACTCCCTCGAGCGCCGCTCGATACTCTCCCTCTTCTCGTTCGTTCCCCTTCGGTCATTCAATTTTTTTTTTGAGGGGCTCGTCGCATCACTGGGGTCTTTCTGTTTTCAATTGGCGGGGGTTTATGTCGAGAGTTTTTTGGGGATTTCAGGGGGGAGGGGAGAGGTTTTTGGGGCAGAGAAATGAGGAAAGTTATGGAATGAGTGGGATTTTTTAATGAATAATTGTCCTCTTATGTTTCATTTTGATTTATTAGGGTGGAAATCATATACAATAATAGCAATTCGTAGTAGAAGAGATCTTTTTTCCATAAATACAAATTACGTTCAATAGATTTCTGCTGCCAAGTGGTAAAATTCGATGAGTAAATTTCCGGTTGTTGATTTTTTATTGTAATTTTAGTTCAGAGCAGAATAAAATTCCTTGAACAGTCGTCTCTCGACGTTTTACCTCTTCACATCTCTGGGTTTTTTTATTTTCAATTAAAGTCATTTTATTTCGAGGCATTTTCAGGGATTTTGAGTCAGTTAAACTTTTTTTCATGAGAATTATCCAAAGAATGGGGTTTTTCAATGAATAAATGTCCCCTCATGTTCCATTTTCATTTATTACAACGAAAATCATACACAGTGATTGTAATTCACGATAGAAAAGATTTTTTTTCCATAAATAGAAATTACATTATGAGTAAATTTCCCTATCTTTTGATTTTTTATTCCATTTGATATCAGAACAGAATAAAATTTCTTAAACAGTCGTCTCTCGACGTTTTACCTCGTCACATCTCTGATATTTCTCTATTTTCAATGCAAGGAATTTTATTTCGAGGCATTTTTAGGGATTTTGGGTCAGCTAAATTTTTTTCCATGAGAATTATCCAAAGAACGGGGTTTTTCAATGAATAAATGTCCCCTCATGTTCCATTTTCATTTATTACAACGAAAATCATACACAGTGATTGTAATTCACGATAGAAAAGATTTTTTTTCCATAAATAGAAATTACATTATGAGTAAATTTTCCTATCTTTTGATTTTTTATTCCATTTGATATCAGAACAGAATAAAATTTCTTAAACAGTCATCTCTCGACGTTTTACGTCGTCACATCTCTGAAATTTTTCTATTTTCAATGCAAGGAATTTTATTTCGAGGCATTTTTAGGGATTTTGGGTCAGCTAAAATTTTTTCCATGAGAATTATCCAAAGAACGGGGTTTTTCAATGAATAAATGTCCCCTCATGTTCCATTTTGATTTATTACAACGAAAATCATACACAGTGATTGTAATTCACGATAGAAAAGATTTCTTTCCATAAATAGAAATTACATTCAATAAATTCCAGCTGCCAAGTGGTAAAACTATTAAATTTCCCTGTCTTTTGATTTGAAATTCGGCATTGATATTCGAACAGAATGAAACTCCTTAGAGTTCGGAAAAAGATCATTGAGATGATTTACTACTCAACAAGATTAGAAAACCATTTGTTCACTAACGTTTTACCACTCGACTCAACTCATTTTTAATTCAACCAATGTGGCAGTAATTCACTCTACCGTTGCAGGAGTATTATACATTTGTCCACAAAATATTCAATAGAACGTACGTAAATATATTCACGTTATCATTTATTTTCATCGCTAGGCCCACTGATCCCACGACAAAAAGACATTCCCTAATTGTACCTAATACAATGTAAAAATAATAAAAATTATTCATGTAACAAGTTTGCTGTATCTCCTCCCTCTTCGGCTTTGTGTTTGAACTCCCTGATAAAGCTTTGAGAGAGAGAGAATGAAGGATGAGATATTGAGTTGTGAATCTCTTAGCGGTTATTTGAGGAATGTATTCTTCAGCGAGCACCGATGAAATAACGGTATACGATTGTTGCAAGGACTCCTAGGGTTATTGGAATCAGCCAGGATCTCCATGAACCACTGGAATTGCCAATCATCACATCACCACGCAGCAGCGACTATTTGCATTTTTTTTTTGTGAGAGAAAGTACGAGTTTCATCAGTTGTGAAGTGGAAAAACGAAAAAATTCAATGAATTTCGATGAAATTTCGGTTTAATCTTGAATGAATCAATATAATACGGAATATATCTACTCTTTATGAAGACAAATGATTGATGAAATGAATTATTCTGATGAATTAATTTAGTAATCAAGTTAAGTAGGACGAGTCGATTTCAACTAAACATGAGTTATTCGATGAAATTTAATGTTTTAAGTGAAATTTACTCGCAATGTTTAGGAAATTAATTGTTTTATTAATTCATCATCATTCCGTTGAGTCTATTAATCAATTACTCACGTTGCTTTTCCATTTCAATACTGATAGACTTCATAAATAGAAAATAGGTATTGTTGAAGGGTTTGAAGATATCTAGGATCCCCTCTGTTATCAGAATAAAGCTGAGAAAGGGTTAGTAAAATAGGTGGAAGCTCAGTGAGAATTTAGGATAGTTTTTATCACTTCGAGGGTAATTGGAATCTTAGAAAAATACCTGGATCCGTCGTCTTCTCCAGTTCCATTCGCCCAATCTCGCTTTTTGTCGTCTTTCGAGGAGGGATTTCTCTCCTCCTGGGGACAATTATAAAAAATATTCTCAATGCTTCAAGTATTAAAAACAATTATGAATTATTAATGTTGAGGAAATATCTGGACATTAATTATTTGTAATTGTTTATTTGGAGTTTATAATTACCTCCACAATCTCTCCAATTTTATACGGCTCCATCATCTGTCTGGCATCACTGGAATGTCCCACATCCTCAAAGGGTTCAGTTCCATCTGCTCCTGCCTGTTCTAACAGGACTTCTTCACCTCCAGGGTGCTATATAAAATTTTAAAAATACAGGGGAATTTTACTTCAAACAACTTTTCGTCAAACTTTATTCTTTCGATAACCTAATTATTTGAACTTTTGAAAACTCAATTTTTTTTCGTGAATTTTTGATAAATTTGGAATCGACAGATTTGTAATGATTCGATAATCATTTTTAGAGTGAAAAATTGATTGTTTATAAATGAAGAAAAAATATTTTCTAACGTCTTGAAATGGGGAATTGACTGAAATTGAATAAAATAAAATAATAAATGATGAAAAAGTCTTTTAATAAAATATTGAGATAATAAAATGGAGATGATAACGAAATCCTTGAAATTTATAATAATCTTGGGTCAACTGAGTAGAAAATTCATAGAGAACTGAAATATTATTTAGCCTCTCCATAAATAAAAATAATGAATCCATCAAACCTCAGCAAGAAACTTGGTGACATCATAGACACTATTGTGAATAATAATCCAAGTGTCTTTGTTGTCCTTATGCTTGGAGACCTCAGCTCGCGTGAATAACTTGACGTCGGATGTTGATGCCGGGCTCGCCATCTTCTCTATTTATCTATTAACAATTAACAATGATTATCAGGACAATAGTTCACACCCAAGGAGTGTTCTCGATCCGTGCATGCTCACGAGGTTTCTCAGTAAGACAAAAAATTTATGAAAAAACTCATCACAACGAAGGTTAGAGGATTAAAAAAATTCTTCTTTGAATTTAAATAAACGTTAACATGAATAAATTTTAACGAATATCAGTATTCGCTGGTCTCACCGATTATTCGGGGGTGGGGTACAGTTTTATCGAGAATGATCTTGAATTATTTCAACAATGAGACACTTTGCAACGAATAGTTGAAAAAAACACTTGTTCCTCACGTCAGGGCTCACGTTTACCAACAGAGGAGTGTTCGATATGGCATCGATTATTGCCAATATCGATAGTTTCCGAGTCGTTTAGGCTCGAGATATATCGAGGGAATCGATACTTAATCGAACTTGATTGTTGGACAATTTTTTTTTCAACTAATTTTTGTGATATTTTTGAAGAAAAATAATTTTTTACATTTTATTTATTTTTTATATCGATATCTTCAGTACCGGTACTTTTTTGCGATTTATATCGACATATTCACGGTATCGATACTTTTGAAATATCGAACTTTGCTGCCGACAATGAACGTGTGTTCACCGGCTTATCGTGTGGCCTTCAAACTCCAAAAGTGCATAAAGTGTTGATGGATAATTAAATTTATAAACAATATCCAGTGGACTGGATTTTTTGTTGTTTATTTGCTTGGATGGAGGTAGAGTAACAAGTGGTGGTTGTAGTGCATGAAGAATATTAATTAAATTGTGGAAGTGGAATTACTCTGGGGATGAAGATGAGGGTGAGAACTGCTGGAGTGTGTTGCATTTTTTTGTCGATGTTTTTGGAGGAATCCGAGGGATTAATTGATCCGATCACTGGAGGGCTTGTAGCCAGCCTCGCCGGTCTTTTTTATTATGGTTATAACCAACAAAAGACCAAGTGTGATAGGCAGGAGTGCTGTGAGAGTAGATACATCGAAAAAAATATCTCATGCAAGTATTTTATTTGAGAGCAAATTAATAATTTGGGAGAAAGACTTGCAGAGGCTTTTTATAATTGTTGAATTACTCTGAGGATTCTATAAAAAAATTCTCATCACATTTTCTCCTGAAATCTCATGTTAACAGATCAATTATTATTTTAAAAGACAGAATAACTTCATTTTTCACATTGTACAACTCAATTCTTTTTCAGAAAAACGTATTTTTACTTTTTCATGTGAAGATTTCATTTCCTACATTTGCCTCATAATTGTTAATTCATCACAAGACCAGAGATTTAAAAAATTTAATCCCCGACTTATTTCCGGAATTTTGGAAAATTATAGATTTACGAAAAGCACTGGGAGATCGTTTATTTGGTCAGCACATAGCTTCGAAAACGATAGTGAGTGCACTAGGTGCTCACAGAGCAGTCAACTCCCCGAATAAACCTCTGACCATGAGTTTCCACGGGCTGGCAGGCACTGGCAAGAATTACGTAGCCCAAATGATTGCTTTTGCTTATTTCAAAAAAGGACAGAATAGCAAATACTATCATTTCTTCAATGGTCGGACTGAATTTCCACTGGCTAGTCGATTAGAATTTTATCAGGTATTAATATCCCACCAATAGATTATTCAAATCAATATTAAAATTCAGTGAATTCATTTCCTGACGACTTTTTTTGTTGTTTCGATTGTTTTCTTTAAAAAAATTAATTTATTCAGCCATTCATTAATTTATTTCTGCAATTTAATACATGGTATGATTTAATGATAATTTAATAACAGGATTGAGCCAATTGAAGACAAAAATACAAAGTTCAAGCTAAACATTTTTGTATAAGACAAAATACAGTTTTTGCCTCTAAAATCATTCGCTTCCACATAAGCTGAAAGGCTAGAAATGGAGATGTAGTTGAAGAATAAATTAAATTTTAAATGGATAAAGAAAAATTCACCTCTTCATCACTAAATTATGAAATTTAGGAAGATTTGAGGGACAGAATTTACGAAGCTCTCATCGATTGTCCTGATTCCCTCTTCGTTTTTGATGAAGTCGACATGATGACCTCTGGAGTTTTAGACGCCCTCGTACCTTTCCTAGACTACGGAAACAGTCTCATCTATTGGCAGGGGCGAAATCGACCGATTGAGAAAAATCGTGCTGTCTACATTTTCCTGTCGAATACAGGGAGTCAGGAGATTGTCAACACACTGACGCAGCTTTGGGAACAGGGAAAGAGCAGAAATGAAACGACCCTCAGTGACTTTGAGAGATTGATACTGACGGGTGCCTTCAACGAGAAGGGGGGCTTCCACAAGAGCGACACCATCAGGACGAATGTAATCGATCACTTCGTGCCATTTCTCCCTCTCGAGGAGGAGCACGTGATAAGCTGTGTGAAAGCTGCTTTCGACAACTGGAACAAGAATCCAACGCCTGAGATGATTCAGGAGGCGATGGCTTACGTCACTTACAGCCCACCTCACAATCTTTATGCCAAGAGCGGCTGCAAGAGGATCGAACAGAAAGTCAATTCTATTGTTTATCAACGTGGAGATTGAATAATGTGTTTGTGGACTCGATCATTTTTTACTTCTTGTTGATGTGGATTTATCTTGAAAATGAGTGATGAATCCTGCGAGTAAACATGTCTTTGTATTTTACCCTAAAGTCACTTGTCATCAGGATACTTGCCATCAGTATCTCAATACTTCAATACTTCTTGTTAAAAACGTCAATCAACATTCCATCAGATACAAAAAATGGTCTTTGACGTTTTCCTCTAAACCCACTCATTCTCAAGATAATCAACAAAACACTGGACAAAAAAATTGAGAGATTAAAAATCCTCGACTCAAACATTTTAGAGTTATGTGAATATTCCAGAAATCAATTTTTTACACAATAAATATTCGTTAATCGTGAATTTCTCAAGAAAAAACTGCATTTATGGTTGAGAAATAAAATAGTGTATTTTTTTATATGTACATAAAATTTATGTTTATGTATATAATTCATTGACTTAACGGATTTCTTATTGGCACAATCGGAAAACATTTTGCGATGTTTAAAAACCAAGTTATTCAAGCGAATAACACTGGACATTAGTTGAAAATCAGCAGTACAGATAGACTTAGGCGATTTTTTGCATGATTTCATTACTCCATAATCTCTCTCGCGGTGTACAAATATCTCTTTCGTCACTTGGGATTAACTAAATCGACAATCTGGCTAAAAAGTTACACACAGTGAAAAAAAAAACATTTTTTCCACATTAAAATTGCTTATTAAAATCATCATAAAAATAATAAAAATATTAAAATATCGATAATGATTAAAATCCAGGGACTAGTTGAATAATCCTGTGTTTATCCTCACAGAAAAATACATTCTCTCTGGATCTCTTTGGATTTGACACATTATATACGTTTTATTATTGAGGATGTACAGGAAAAACAAAACGACATCATCAATAACTCATTTAAAAATATAAAAAATCTCTAAAAACATAAAAAAAAATCCAGAGACTACGTCTCCAGAATCACCTCAGAGGCCTTGAATCTCGTCTAAAACAATTTAGTTGATTAAAAATTTTACACCGCAATAAAACGCTTTAAATTAAAATCTCTCCTGATTAAGGAGTTGTTGTTGTACCCCCTGTACATCCCAGATGTTCTTAAAATTAAAAAATAATTTTTCATATACTAGAGACGATGGTAATTGCTTTTTACTCCTCCTCCACGTATTCTTTGGGGAAAAATCCAACTTGATCACCAATTTTTCCCTTCCACCAACCCCTTGCGTCCCCTTCTTTGCTGAGAACAACGACTCGACATCCTCGCCGTAGATTCAACTGATTGCGCTCGATAGGACGAAAATCGAAGAGCGCCTTGGCTAGCACCCGCCTGAAGGGCCACAGCAGACGCTGATCAAGCTTCTCGAAGTTCTCGGAGAGTGACGCACGCTCGTAATATTCAACTAATTCAACCACACTCTTGAAGAAACGTGATTCACTCAAGTAATACAAGTCAGCACCGTCAACGTCACGTTTGAATACTCTTATGTGTTTTACTGCGCCATCAGCCCTGGAAAATTGAGATGAATTCATTTGAAAAATCCCAGAGAATGAGATTTAATGAAGAGAATGAACTTTTATGAAGCCATCTTGAAAGGAAATCGTTAATAGTTCTGAACGGACGATGCGATTTGGACGAGTCAGCTCTCATCTTAAAGGATGGAAGAATACCTCGAAAATGAAACAAAAATCGTCGAATTTCACTCTGCCATTCTCGAGTTATGGACGATTGAACGCACGTCATTTCATTCGATTTTTCGATTTTAGTTTAGAAAAATATTTAGATGGATAAATTTACTAACTTGATACTGAGTGCATAATTGGTTTCGTGTTTTAATCTCGGTAGTCCTGTTGGTCGCACCCTCAGCATGTAAGTTCCATCCTCTCGTGCCTCCAATTTATGGGCAGCACGATCCCTCCCCAATTCCCCGACAAACCATAATTTAGCGGATAGTGCACGCTCACAGGGAAGTGGTGGCGGTGGTGGAGGTGGTGGTGGAACAGGCATGCAACGTCCAGCGTAGGAAATGCATTGTTTGTGAACAGCAAGTCGACAAACCTCGCAACAATAGCCCTGTCAAAATAAAATGTTAAATTATCTCCAGACAAAACTTTCTCAGTTAATTAAATAGAGTGAAATTAATTGAAAATTGTGAAATTCAAAAATCACAGGATCGTTAATTGTTTAATAATCAAGAATAATCAGCTGAAGAATGAAATGAAACTCATTGAAATGAAAATTCACGAAATGAAACGAAATTCATTGAAATAAGAATTCATTGGATGAAGAAAAAATGAAGAATAATTAATGCAAACCTGGAAAATTCGGCCCTTGAGGAACTTCCCACACCTCTGGCAGCTCCTCGCAGTTTCAAATGTGGTCAGTCGAAATTTGTGATTAGTCTGACGACAAGCAGCTGGACTGACGTTGTCGATGGCGTCCTGGAGAGCCTTTATCCACATCTGCTTCTGCTCCTCAGTCCTCGCGTACAAAGTGTAAGCGGTATAAGCCTGTTTGTGAACAAGTAGCCACTGGTAAGACCATCGTGAGTCTCTCCCCAGAGTCCTCCGCCCGGTGTAATCCTCCACTCGATAGTCGTCTAGTCTCAGGGTCTCGCGGTAACAGTACTGGTCACCTCTTCCAGCCTTGCACACGAGGACTGCTTGCTCGAAGACGAAGGCGTAACGAGCTTTCACTCGTTGATCTCCATGTGCTTTTACCTTGAGTGATTTTAATTAAAGAAGAATATTTAAACGTGCATTCTTAAAAAAAAATAGGGAAATCTTTAAAAATTTTAATTGTTACATAATTTTAATTAATGGATTAATTAATGGATTTTCCTTAAAAAAATAATTTTCTAATTTTTTTCGATTTCGGGCGTTTCATCCAAAAGGAAGAGTCTAACTTAAACTTTCAAAGTTTAAGGAATAAAGTCATTGCCAAAAGTTGAATTAAATGAAAAATGAGATGTGATTTTAATTAAACAAAACTTGTTTCTTAAACATCTCTTTTAACAAATGAATAATGGAAATCTTAAAAAATTAATTTTCTAATCAACTAAAATCATCGCAAAGTGTCAGACTGAACTAAAAATAATGGCAAAACGTGAAAATTAATATGATTCCAAAAAATGCAAAAAAAAAAATTACTTTTAATTCTCCATCCCTAAGTAAACGGCCAAAATCCTTCAGCTGCGTGTCCTCAGCGACCTCCCAATCGACAATAGAGGCCTGTATATCCCTAATAATATCTAAAGTATCGGAATCCCTCTTAACTTCATTAATATATTGAGCAACATCGACCATGACCTCCCTGGCCTTTCCCAGTTGTCGAAGATCGTCAGTCCACTCCTTGGGTGTCTCCTCGACTAATTTATCCAGCAGCAGATGGTACTTGAGAACCCTCTGCATCGGAACCGAGAGAATGTCACGTAGTTTAAACTTGCCATTATTGGCTTCCTGTTGGCATTTAATCACCTCCTGATTCACCAGTTCATTTTTAGCACAGGCTTCCTGGAGTGTGTTCTGAGCTAATGTCAGATTGGCACAGTAGTCCCCGTAGATGAGAAATTTTTCCCGCCAGTCTAGGAAGACTTGGGCAATGGCTGCACCATCCCTGGCCTTTCGCAATTGACAGTGGACACCCCCGTGGATCTCAGCGAGGTCTTTTATACCGAAGAATATTCTCGAGGCGTCCTCAGAGCGTAGTAGCGAGAGCAGGGGCCTTTGGAAGTGCCGGATCAGACTGTTCAATACCTCGGAGTAGTTTTTCTCGGTCTCCACCAACTCCTGTATCACGTAATCTCGCTTTTCCCCACCGGAAATTGTCCCACCCTGACGAGAAAAATATTTTCAATCGGAAGTAAGGCTGGGGGGGACGTGTATTCTTCATTTAATTATTAGAATACCTCAGAATGGGGGAGAAATTTGAGTAAAAAACTGGGAATTCTTTCAATTTTTTGAACATTTAAGGCGGCGTTTATCGGAATTTAATTGAAATTTACATTGTTCTTTGATTCATCCAGAAAATTTGGCATTTTCATTGATGAATTACTTAAAATTAAATGGGCATTGACTTTTTTAAAAATTTACGGCGGCATTTCCCTGAATTCATTTGAAATTCACATCTTTCTTTGATTTATCCACAAATTTCTGCATTTTAAATGATGAATTTCTTGAATTTTTAGTGAAACTATATAGGGGAGGGAGAATGGGGTAAAATGGACATTTGACTGTTTTTTAAAATTATGACATGTTGAATTGTTTATAAAATGGAATAATTTTATTCTGCAATTGAAAGAACAATTATTCCCCTTTGTGATGAGCTCAGCCTGAGATCAATTCATAAATCTGTTTCTGAGTTATGAATATTTTAAAAAAAGTCAAAAGTGTCCATTTTACCCCACCCCCTAATAGAATAAAAATTTCAAAAAATTTCTCCAGAAATTTCAAATGTTGAGCGTCAACCAGCCCAAAACGCGGAGTCTACCATGCACATGCGGTGCCAGAAGAATGATGAATAAAAAAAATAATGAATATTAACCTGCACAGAAGATGGGGGAGGTGGCAAGTGCAGACTACACAAATCCTGGTAGATTTCCTCACTCTGTGCATGACTGCAAAAAACCCCGTAACCGTCCTCCTCGTTGACAGCATCGTCGCTGTCCACTCCCATTCCACAACCTGCCTCTTCCCCATCTCTCCTGCGTAGCCTTCTTCGACGGCCCTCGTTCTCTCGTCTTTTTATTCGCGATGAAAATGATATAGAACGAAAAGATAATGAGGAAATAAAATAAAATAATTTTGGAATGAGTGAATGGGGGAAGAGAAACACTTTGCCATGCAACGTGGAGGCGGAAGTAGCTCACAAATTCAGGGAGTCAGTGTCAAAAGAGAAAGACGAGATGACATTATTTTTTTTTAGTTGAGAATTCAAGTCTTTACATTTCATTTCTCCATTCGTGCATTAATTTTTTTATTCTTCACCGTCTCGTTGAATATCTTATTATTCACGTATATTTGATAGTATCATTTATAATTATTCATAACATATTATATTAATTAGTGAAGAAAAAATATAACTGTTACAAAATCAGGAGAATTTTAGTGACGAACAAAACTACTTAATTTCATTCTTTAAAAAAAAATAGATTCATAATTTTTTTTGTGTTGACGATTGCCATTCTCGTGTTGTGGATAATTTCCAGAGGAATTCACAACACTTCGTGTTACTGCATCTCAAAGAATGCAAAATGAAAATGTTCCATTAACCCAAAGGAATTGGCTCTCGTTTTTCTATTTTAAAACCTGAATAACGTCAACAAAATAAATCAGGGACTGAGTGGCACAGCTGATACGTATAACGAGTGCCACAGCATAACATAAATACAATATAACACCAGCACTAAACAATGAATTCAATAAACGATCTGGTGATTATTGAAACGGTGGAATGTACCTCCTTGGGGAAGAACCAATCGTTATGGGGCGTTGTAGAAAAGCAGAGTAATTCCTGATAAACATCCGACTCATCGAGCTCCACTGCCCTGGGTTTTACGGTTAAACCTACCACTGGGGCTGTGGCACTAAACCCACGAAGATTATTCATGATTACAGATGTATGTCCATTGTCTATTGATAGTTTGTCTAACAGATGTGGAGGTAATAATGATGGGATAGATACGCGGCTATTGACTTTAGATTCCTGAACATTTTTTATGGTTTATTTCGTGTAAATGTAACGCGTGTCTGTGGATATTAGGATGTTTATTGCAAATATTATTTAGCGGTTGCGCACGGGACGATTGTGCGCCGATTGTGTAGTTTTTGAAGGCTTCGAGGGGCACTATTTACAGTATTTTAACGGTTTTGTGAAGGCGAAGTTGGGGAGAAGAGAGAAGTGTGGATATTTACCCGATTCCGGCGCTCTGGAGGTCCTTGTAGGCATCCTCTTGAGATCTCTCGGTGCCAACGGAAAATCCCCTGGGAAATTAAAAATATTTAGCCTTTATTATCGCAATTTAGTCGACTGAAATCACTTCATTAATTTTATTTCATGAGTTTTTAATTATTTTTGAGTAAATAACAGTTAGAATTGAAAAATCCTCTGAGAATTTAAAAATGTTTAACATTTATTATCGCAATTTAGTCGATTCAAATCACTTTATCAATTTTATTTCATGAGTGTTTAATTATTTTTGAGTAAATAACAGTTAGAATTGAAAAATCCTCTGAGAATTTAAAAATGTTTAACATTTATTATCGCAATTTAGTCGATTCAAATCACTTTATCAATTTTATTTCATGAGTGTTTAATTATTTTTGAGTAAATAACAGTTAGAATTGAAAAATCCTCTGAGAATTTAAAAATGTTTAACATTTATTATCGCAATTTAGTCGATTCAAATCACTTTATCAATTTTATTTCATGAGTGTTTAATTATTTTTGAGTAAATAACAGTTAGAATTGAAAAATCCTCTGAGAATTTAAAAATGTTTAACATTTATTATCGCAATTTAGTCGATTCAAATCACTTTATCAATTTTATTTCATGAGTGTTTAATTATTTTTGAGTAAATAACAGTTAGAATTGAAAAATCCTCTGAGAATTTAAAAATGTTTAACATTTATTATCGCAATTTAGTCGATTCAAATCACTTTATCAATTTTATTTCATGAGTTTTTAATTATTTTTGAGTAAATAACAGTTAGAATTAAAAAATCCCCTGAGAATTTAAAAATGTTCAACATTTTATAGAGCAATTTAGTCCATTCAAATCACTTCATCAATTTTATTTCATGAGTTTTTAATTATTTTTGAGTAAAAACAGTCAAAATAACAAAAAGTATATTTTTCAAGTCTTCAATATCTTTTTGATAATTTTAAACTAAATTCTCGACTAGAATCACAAGAGAATTCGACTCATCATTAAAAAATTTACAGAATTCTAAATTTTCCTCCAGCGAAAATTCTCGAATCGACAACTCATTAAAATTTTGACTTCTCATGAGGAAAAAGGGGCACCCGGAAGGCAGAAGTTCCTGGAAAAAATAATGGAGAAAATATCCCACTCGTTTTCTCATCGTATTTTTTCCTCTCTCCATTTCCTCCCGAGGGGGAAACGGGGGTAATATTGATTCAGGGTGAAACTTCCAAGGTTCACTTCCAGATTTAACATTCGAATTAAAAATTCAGTGGTCATGCCATCAGCTGTGCAAACATTGTCAGCTTTAATTGAAAAACTCGGGGCAAAAAACTGTTTCTCGACATAAAAAATAACATTAATTATTACTAATAATCTAGTGTTATCAATTGTTATTAATATTATTGATATTATTAGTATTAATTACTATATTATTAATAATATAGTATTGCTTATCGTTTTTTAAATGAAAAAAAGAAGAAAAAAATTGAGAAAGAGTATTCGTAATCTCAACTGTTCTTCTACATTAAAAATAATATTAATTATTATTAATAATTTAGTGTTATTAATTATCCTTAATATTATTACCATTAATTACTATATTATCACTGATATATTATTATTTATCGTTGAAAAAAATCGAAAAAATTGGGAAAGAGTATTCGCAATCTTTTATTGAATTAATAATGAAGACTCACGGGATCCCCTTGCGCCTGAACCTGGACGAATAAGATAATGCAGAGAGTGTGCAGAGGACCTGATGAAAATTCGAAAGATCGAAGAGAACAGAGGCCTCAAACAGATCCGAGTCAGAGAGTCCAAAAGTAGAGGAGCAAACAGAGAGAAATAACTTGATATTTCTCAGACACAAGAACTGGGCGAGCTGTGGCTTTTGGCTGACATCCTTGATGTCAATGCAGCCAGGATCAACGAGATTCAACAAATTGCAGAGTAAAACCCCATCTCTGAGGGTGTAGGCAAGATCGAAGGCTGTTGCAGTTGGCCAATTAGCCTTGTGATCAGCGCGCAATGCACCACATCTAGTTAACCAGCTTGCACACTCCTGCCAGCCACACTCCTGATCAGTTCCATTTTCCGATGAGCCCTGAGCACTCATTGCACTTATTTTACCACTCATTGTCCTCCTCATGAGCTCAAAATCCCTCTCAACAGCGTCTAAAAATCATAATTCAACAGTGAACAGCAACAATTAATTGTCAACAACTGACAGAGGGCCGGAGGTATGAAAGAATAATTTTTTTTTTCATCACAAACCTGTGAGGGTAATTCTCCCCTGTCTCTTGTCACTCCTTTGACACGAGATTAGTGATACACAAAGTTGACAAATGAACGGTCCATTCAGTGTGTTAACCCTTCTTTTTGTACGTGGAAATGTCTCGTTGAAGGGGCTTTCATCTGAGCACGTCTCAGTCGAAACATCTCTCCCTCCAATTGTCTACGATTATTATTGCTAAATAAAACGTCACTCGCGTCAGTAAAAAGGGATTTTATCGATGTGCGGAATTATCAGTTCGGTAGAGTCCATTTTGGAGTTTGTGATATTTTATTCTCACTCGGAATAATATCGGGAATCGTGGAGGAGTTGGAGGTGTCGAGGGCGAGGACGACCTCAGTGCAACTACTCCCTCGCCTCGTCACACTGCATCATTATCATTCTGTCTTTTTCCTGTGCCCCGAGCTTACGGAAATCGACAGAAGGTGGCGAGCAGTGGGTGGACGGTGGCGCCGAGGCTCGGTAATTATCCTCAATTTTTAAAGGGATCAAGGAAAACTTGAACTCAATTGTTGCAAGACAATTCGGTTCTCTGGTGTCTCGGTACGTCTGGTGCATCTTTCAGTAGTCAGACAAGTTAACAATATCATGATGAAAATATAACAACCATCGGTGCTAAACTATTTTAATGATGAACACTCCAGGAGATCCTGTTTTTTTTTTAACTGATAATACATAGCCATCATTTGTCAGACCGAGAAATCAAATAATTCAAAAGAATTTCTTTTTTACATCAAAACACGCGCAGATTTTTTCCCAGAAAATTCCAGCGAATTCCCTGGAAAATTTTATTGAATTTTGTATTAATTTTTGGACGTCTGCATGTCTGTCCGTTTATTTTTCTTCGATCCCGCGAGATTGATAAAAATTTTAATATCAAAATCTTGAAATTAAAGAATAGCTTAATTTCCAAGGACTTTATTCTACTCTGAACAATTGAGAATTTTGTTATTAGTTCAGTTGTTAGTGAAAAGTGTCCTGACTCTTTTCAAAAATCATCGCCGTGGTGGCTCCATCCGACAAGTGTCAGAACTTCTGAGTACTAATGAATAGAATGTAAACAAAGAGTGAAGAGTGCAGTGTAAAGAGTGATTGTTGGAGTGAGTGCAATGTCAACGAGTTAATTAATCTGCCAATTGATAAATTGGCATTGCTGGTGGTAACAGATCATCAGTTTGCGACGACTCCTCCTGCAATGAGGACGAATTTTATTTTACTGCTGCTCTGCTGTGCACTGGGAACTGTCACCAGCTATTCAAATTCCATTCAGTGTAAAGATGAAAATGGAAAGAATGTCGATTGGTAAGGGACAGCAATACTTGTTTAAGATAATTGCGAAGAAGAAAGTAGAAAGTTGGATTTTATGGGGCTCTATTGCAGGTATGTTCTATACAAATTACCAAAAATATCTGAGAGCTCGAATCCCCTGATAAGGGATGGTGTGTCATATCTCTATATGACTAATTCTACTGTTGGCGATGGGTGGAAACTGTCCAAACGGAGTGTGGAATCCGTACAATCTATGCCAGGACAGACGCTCGCGCTTCTGTACAAAGACGTGAGGGCAATCATTTTTTTCTAGTATTATAATTAGTACCTAATGATTGCATTGAATTCGACACTCATCGAGAATCATTTTCTTTCCATTCGTCAAGGTGGGCAAACACACATGTTCAAATTATCCTTGAAATCGAATTGTTTGCGCATCTGCGGAATCAAATCTCCCGCTGGTGACGCTTGCTTCAAAGTCTTTTATAAACTCTGGATTGATCTTGAAGACCAATTTAACATTCAAAGATTATCAATTGCCCTGGTAGGAATTGACGTACTGCGTCTCAATACTCAAAGGCCTGAATTGAACCTCGGCAATGGCCCCTTGAATCGCCCTCATTTCAGGCTCGAGTGAACGATGAAATCAAGCCCGTCCCAGGCCTGAGTCACTGACCCTCGCCAAACCTAGGCTCGCACAGGCTTGTTTCCATCGTCAGCCTATATAATTCCTACCTGATATAATGACTTCATTAATTCAACGCTGGTCGTGCAATTGAAACGGGATCAGCTTGAAATTGATTCACGAAAATAAATTTCAAGAGATCTGATGGATTTTTATCCTTTCTCCATTCTCAAGACAGAAAATTTAAAATGATTCATCACAAATTAGTGAATATATTTTTGGAAAAAAATTAGCAATTGGTTTTCGAATAGAATTTTATATGACGATGTGTGACGATTCAACATTGCTACAACGTTGGTTGCCAACATTGCACCAACACTGCCCCGGCGTTGCTAACCAACATTGAATTCAATAATTAATTGAATTCAACAATGCTACAGCGTTGGTAGCCAACATTGCTCCAGTATTGGCCGCCAACATTGCGCCAACGTTGCCCCGACATTGTCTAAAAATTGCATATTCGAACTCCCTAGGTCATAATTAGTCATCCCCACAGAGTAGATTCCAAGAGTAAATTTCAAGAGATCTGATGGTTTTTGATCCTTTCTCCATTCTCAAGACAGAAAATTTAAAATGATTCATCACAAATTAGTGAATATATTTTTGGAAAAAAATTAGCAATTTGTTTTCGAATAGAGTTTTATATGACGATGTGTGACGATTCAACATTGCTACAACGTTGGTTGCCAACATTGCGCCAACATTGCCCCAGCGTTGCTAACAAACATTGAATTCAATAATTAATTGAATTCAACAATGCTACAGCGTTGGTAGCCAACATTGCTCCAGTATTGGCCGCCAACATTGCGCCGACGTTGCCCCGACATTGCCTAAAAATTCCATATTCGAACTCCCTAGGTCATAATTAGTCATCCCCACACAAAAAATGGAAAATTTCGGATTTGAAGAACCCAATCTTTCCATTCGAAAGCTAAAACATCCTTCGAATTAATCCAATCAACATTTTAGAACGTAGCCAAGAAATCAGCGTGGATCATGTACAATGATCAGCCGCCGAATAAATCAGTCTCCATAAAATACGGCCACACGAAAGGCGTCGTGATGGCGAACGAGGATCAGGGATTCTGGCTTGTCCACAGTGTCCCAAATTACCCTCCACAACCGGACACCGGTGTTGAGAAAAAATGTAAATCATCGACTACCGATGACTGCAGTTTCGATAGTAATGCTTTTCTGCATGGAGAGTACTCGTATCCATCCTCTGGAAAAAACAATGGCCAGAGCTTTCTGTGTATTTCGATTGGAGGTGCACAGATGCGTGGCATTGCCGAGCAACTTATTTATAATCAGATTATATCGTACAGGTACAATGTACCTAGGGAATTACCTCAGTATTCATTTCTTGTTAATGCGGCGCAACGCCCGAGGATAAAGGGACCTCCGTACTTTCGGAAGGAAGTGCTGAGGACCGTTGGTGGGAGCCAATTCATCTCCTTTGCTAAGGCTGACAAATGGCAAAAGGGTATTAATCTACAATATATTTTGCAAATATATGGACATTCTCTCAAGGAAAAATATTCGTTTTAGATCTGTACGATGATTTAGTTGCTCCACAATTACAAACCGATATGCTGGCTGAAACCTGGCGGAACGGACGAGGGAAATTGCCCTCGGAGTGCAATGGAACCAAGTAAATGTCAATTTTCTCACGAATTGATCTTTTAAATACATGCAATTGCTCAATTTTTATTATCCCCCAAGAGTTTACAATGTGCAATCTGTGGTGCTGGGCGCAGCGAACGTTGAGTTCAAAAGCTCGCGTGATCACTCGAAATGGGCGGTTGCAGTGGATAGTAAGAAGAATAAAAATTGGGTGTGCATAGGGGATATTAACAGAGCTGTGAGTAATGTTTCGTTTTCATTCCACAATTTTTTTAACGTCATCATGAGTGATGTTATAAAAAAACGTAAAAACTTTTTTTTATAACATTACTCATAATGAAGACCTCATCGTTATATTTGAAATATTGTGGAGATGATTAAATTCGTCAAAATGCGAAAAACACGGTTCACTAATTGATTTATTAATTTTTTCATTATCCTGCAGGATACGCAATTCAATAGAGGCGGTGGCACCGTCTGCCTCAATTCCCCAGACCTCTGGAGGAGTTACAGAAATTCTGTGAATGACATCGAACCTTGCCCAAGGAAGAGGGGGTTTATACAGCGTATAAAAGACTCTTTCGAACACCTTTTTTATAAATCCGAGAATTGAAAAAAAAAAAACAACACATGTAACAAGACATGTGTAGGTTATTTGGTTTATAATTTAGTTTAAACCAAATTATGTATGCGACATAATTTGGCTTTTACACCAAACTAATTTGGTGTAAACTCTGATGATAGAAAAGAATAAACATAATTTTTTAAGTTGACCATCTGATCAATTAAAAACATCTTGATTGGCTGGGGTACCTCCACCATGAATATAAACACGTCCAACACAATGATTGTTGATCATTCATTTATTTCGATTCAAGAAAATTTGTGCAGTAAAAAAAATCACTGAATTATGTTTCGTTCGAGGATCAGCAGCTTCGCAATTTCTCCTTCAATTTCTATGACAATTGGCTAGACGTCAGACTGACGACAAATTCATGATGCAAATTTTCAGATACATTATGGATTTTTTATAGTTTCAATGCAAATCGATGGAAATGATGAAGGGAAATACATACAAGTTATCAATTATTTTTTAGTCCCGTGGGATATTCTTTAAAATTTAAATCAACGTCTAATGCAGAGCTGAATTATATACATTAAAATCTCATAATGATTTACAAATGCGAGGATTTTGTGTAACTCGTGTGGTAACAATAATAAAATCTTTGATAAAATCAATATTAGGTGGTATAATTAATTAATGATAATTAGAGGCAATAGTTGATATTTTTCCATTGAATATGATTGGTTGAGTTGATTCTGTGCCTCTTTCAACAGTAGTTAAAATCCATATCGTGGGGATTACAGGTGTTTTTCAATTAGTTTCACGGAATTAACAGACGTTGGATCGAGTAATTCTGACGACGCAATTAGTTTTTCTCAATTTCGTTCCGTTTGTCGTTCGTTAAAACATTTTGAAAATTATTCCAATTGAATAAAAGCCACCACATTCTTACAAAGTCATGATAACAATAGAATTCTGACAGATATTATCACTTTCTTCGCATTCTTTCCTTGTCTTTTTAGACTCTTTCAAACTGGAATGGTTTTAAAGTTAGAAAAAAATGACATTTTCTATACAAATGGTGTATTTGTGCTCTGCCTCTTGTTAATTGGATATTAAAACGAACGATGGGCACAGGTGGTCTCTCATCATGCAGCCGATTTCACTGTCTCACCTTTTAAATAATCGATTTTTCATAATATTACGATTTAGTATTAAGTTATCATTATTAGCGGTATTATGACTAGGATTTAGCAGTAGTGTTTATCAAGTTCCCCTATTCTCAATCGTCTGGCGTTAATCCCTTAATTCTACCGGTTGATAAAATGTTCATTTCGATTAGCAAATCCAAAGTATTTTCTTTGTACAGAAAAAAACGCACTGTGATGAGAGGATGGATGAATTCTCGCTGAATTGGTGATTGTTTCACTCGTGATGGTCTCCTTCAATTGTCGGGGAGCTGTGAGATATCGCCAGTGCCTCATTATGCGAAAATTTATTTTTTTGGGAATGAGTGACAGTTCGGGGTGAATTCAGTAGTCAAGGGCTAACTTCGTCAGACAATTGTGACAAGATCAGAAGAAAAATCACGAAATCAGCGATTTTTTTCACGTGGACTCCCTCATATCGAAATAAGGAAATGACAATTGTGAAGATTTACCCTTTTCTACTGAATTCGTACCAACACTCCATAGATTAACATGAATTCGATGCGCTCTCAAAACGTTGATACATGAATATCTCTAGTTGAGGAGTTTGTTTTCGTCTTAACTTAAAGTGGCAGTAAAATTGCAGAATTTCATTCCCTATTGTGTCTGTCTTAAATATTTATTCACCTATTCTTCATAATTTAGAAGTACCTCTGCCGTAAAAACATGACGAATAACCGGAATCATATTGTCTGAGATGAATGTACATAGAACAGTTTAATTCAATGCCACCAATGTGTTGTTTTCAAAATTCGTAAAAAGGTACATTTTTTTAGTTACGTCGAGTGACATCGTTGTATGAAAAAAGGCATTCTCAAAATCCAAGTGATCGAGAGGATTTTGACAAATGAAATCATTGTTTTTTCCGTTTTTATTTGTTCTTCTTCGATTATCCGCAGGTACTTCATGGATTTATATTGTTCATAAAGACACTTTTCACAATTCTTGGTGATTTATGAGACTAGGTAATGAAGAGTGGATAGAACAGCGAAGCGATAAAACACGGCGAGTTTATTTCACCGGGAAATATCTTTGATTTTGAGATGGAAATTCTCGTGTTTTACCACTTCACTAATGACATTTTTTACTTTTAATTATTCGTGAGTGATAATTTGACTCGAGTATTTTTATCGAAACCGTAGTGACAGGATAATGCACACCTGGAATAGAGAAAAGCAATTCACTCCAAGTATTTAACGAATATTGAAGCAGGTATTGCTTGGTCCCAAACACGAACCGTTCGTGTTTAATTAATAACAAAAAAGCGCATCAAGCTATATTATTCTCAATTTTGCCATTGCTGCACTGCTCACCCTTATCGTCATTAATTACTCATTAATCCTAGATTTCTCCATTTGTCTGGATCTCTGGGTCACTTCACTCATCACTTTGATCGTTTTATTTTCATACAGTTCTAGTGTTAATCCCTAAGAAATTTCGTGTTTTAATTGGAATAAACGCCCCCTATTCTCCACTCGCATTTTTAATGTCCGTTATATCAATTTTTATTATTCTTGGCAGTTGACTATGTACAGTTTTCATTTATAATCGTTGAGCAGTGAAGTGAATTCACGTCATGTTCTGTTATATTTGTTTCGTTATCAACTAAAATGAGGGAAATAATCGAACCAGTCGTTCATGTCACCCGTAGAAAATATACAACACATTAGCCTATGCTGACGTCTTACTCAATTACCGTCTACGCGTTAATTTAGTCAATGGACTCTGGGGAATTGTAAATCAGGAGATGAAGTGTTAAAATTTACGAGAATTATTTGATATCTCTAGAATTTATAAACCATTTTAAAGGGGCGGAAGGGGGATCGCTAGAAATCGCGAAATGAATGCAGAAATATTTACACGAAAAGAACGAGCATGCTGTCCAAATACCTCCTAGCCTGCCCATTGATTTTCGACCCATTAGACTCTTGTCCATTATCTTCATCACTGAAAGCCGACACATGCTCGACAATCGGTGACAGCCGATCCCCCCCCTCGGCATCGCGATTGCTCGAGCCCTCATTACCATCATCCGAATCAACATCCAATAACTGATCATTGACCTGAATTTTGACGACAGCATCGACCGGATAATGGCCATTATCACTGGACGATGAGTTTCCGGGTGGTCCGCTCTTGCCATTGGAGTCGGTGCCCTCGGTGATGGGCTCCTCGCATGTTGAGCACAATGCTGGATCCTCATCCTCGCACCGGAAGCAGATCAAGTCAGTCTCGTCGTGTGTGTTTATATTGCAATGGGGACAGTGGCAGTCGCACTCGTCGCAAATTTTCGCCCTGTCCTCCTCGATGTACCTGTCGAATCTGCTTGAGGGTGTGTGGGGTCTGTAGGAGCAGGCACGCGCCTCCAAATCGCACTGAATGCACAGCAGAAGATTGGATTTGCTGCCCGGATGGGAGGAAAATCCATTGCATGTGCCGATCTCACTGGCATTGTCACTCTCGAAGAATCTCTGGCTGGGGCTGCCTATTGAGAGGCCACAGGGTGTTGTCGGAGCGGTGATGGCTCGGCTCTCGTCGAGATATCTCGACATCTTGTCCATTCTGTCCGGTCGCAAATCGCCGCGATCCTCACGCGGCCGAACTTCTCGTTAAATGATAGACTCCCGGTTGCGCTCGTTGTCTTCTATACTCGATGTCGAACTTGCCCCGCATATTTCCATCTCTATTGCCGCCAATCTGTGCTCGACCTCCCACTGCTGCTGATTGAGTTTTACACTCATCGAGGCATTCTCGGTTTCGAGACAGATTAGACGCTCACGGAGACGCTTTATCTCGGCGAGAAGGGCTTCGTGACTACTCACTGCTAGGATCGGGGTTACCGCACCCTCCGATACTAGTTGAGTCATGCTGTTGCAGGTCATTCCTGTGGCAATGTGGAGAAAATATGGGTGTAAATCTATATAAATTATAAATATATAATTATTATTATAATTATATAATCATATATAATAACTACATTATTTATACTATCATATAGCATATTATTATGTATATAATAATAATAAATATATATTAATATATTTATATTATTTATAATATATTGTAATATATTATTATTATTATTATTATTATTATTAGATTACAATCAAATTGCAATTTTTTGTTAAATTTACGGATGCAAAATCATAAAATTGTCTTCAACAATTTTATATAAATAAAAATGAAGTTGAAGTTAAAGAATTCTTTACGATGGCTCAACGTTTTCATCGTTTTCTACTTCTCACCTGAATGTGTAGACTGTTTTCCAATCGACAATTGAGTCGCCGTAGACCGAGGAGCTCTTGTCGTATGATCCTCACTGCTCCTCCCACTGCTGGTAGCACTCATCGGACTATCTGCACTCCTACTAGGTGCTGTTGGAGCCCCAATAACAGGTGCACCCTCAACATCCGCAGACCTCAGTCCATGGATCGAGGAACCTGTTATCGGGCTCGGACTCGGGGAGAAAAGGGAACGGGCGGTTCGTAATTCCAGTGGTGATATCCACATCTCCTCCAGGGGCACTCGACCCCGGGACTCTATCAATCCCGGAGTGCTCTGGCTTCGGCCCATCGCAGCTGCGAATAGAACTATTTCAGTGAATTTTTCAAAATCATTTGAAAAATGTGGAACGACAATTCACGACGCGTCGTGCTCGGAATTTCCATGAATAGTAAGAATTTCGGGAATTGAAAGGTCAATGGCCAAAGGAATTTCTCATTAAAATATTAAATGGTTGTCCTTAGGGGGAATTTTACTCCAGGACATCTAATAAAATGCTTCTAATAATAATACCCACACGAAAAATATATAATATGTAATATGTAATATATAATATATAATATATAATATATAATATATTTTTGAAAAATATATGAGATTGGTCCATATTATATATTTTTTGATGGAGGTAATGCAACATGTCATTAACTGCTTCAAAAAGACTTAAGTAGATTACGAAGATTTTTCAGTTTTAATTAATTACCTTTCTCGAGTGGTGCTCTTTTGTACTTTTCAAGTCTCTTAACAGCTATCGACTCGAGCCTCACTCTAGCTGCAGGATACTCCTTAAGTACATCCCACATGTCCTTTTTTTTCAATACGAAGAGATCAGAGTAACCGACGGATCGTACACTTGCTGTACGTCGATTACCTGCGACGATGTAGCCATTTAATGGTTATCGGGTTAATTAAACAACATTTAATAAAAATCTTGAGGAAAGTCTACGAATTATGTACACTCTGCCTTAGTGACAGTTGAATTAAAAATTTGTATTTATTATTGTTTCTTTGTTAAATTATTTGCAAGTTTCAAAGGAATTCAACAAAGAAATGGAGATATATCAGGGGTGAAGTGACAGGTGGGAAGGTGAGGTGGAGAGCAACAGATCGACCTCTGCAGAATCTCAGAGATGATGAAATATTCAGCAGAAAGCTGTCTGAAGTCAATTTAACTCATCTCGTTCCTCCACTTCACGCCTCGTATATTAATAAATTATTATCATTAAATTTATCGTTGATAAATTATCTTGGAATGCTTAACACTACTATAGCGGATGCAAAGTGTGATCCAAGTCTACTGTAGGCAGTCAAGAAGAAGCTAGTTCGATTATTATCGAGATATCGTATAAAATGAAGCGGTGGGTCTATTGTAGCAGCCAAAGTTGCCCAGTTTAACATTCTCTCGCATCACGTCATCGTCAAAGATCATATGAGATAATTTATAAAAAGAGCTTGCACGCAAGAGAGAAGTCAATCAGTGACAGAGGCGTCTAAAGTTTCTGCAAAGAGTCAAATGTCCTTTTTTCCTTTGAAAACCATGAATTCGATGCTGCAATGATTCTAAAAAATGTTCAACTATATTTCATGAAAGCTGATGAAATTATTTTCATTCAAAAAATGCCTTTTATTTTGTGAAAAAAAGCCGAAATCAGGAGTGAAGTACAATTCATTCTGCAATTGAAGAAAGAGAAAATTTTTATCAAGGCCATTTTTTAATAAAACGACTTGTTGAAATTATGTCTGACTATTTTCGTTTTACTTCACTACTGAAACATCTCATCGTTCGTCTTGTAATTGAAGAAAGAAAAGGGCGTGAGAAATGTACATGTCACATAAAATTGATTGATGATAAACTACTCAACGCTACAAACACTTTTTATAATGATAAAAAATGATATATAGAAAATAGCACACGAGATGTGCCAGTTTATCCTGGTTGATGGAGAAAAAATACAGCCGAGAGCGAGATGAAAGCGATAAAATTCTTGATAACTGGGATGCTTGTCAGACGTATTATTCACATGTTTAAGGGAACTTGTAAAACATAATTATCATAATTTCTCATTAAATAACACAAAAATGCAGGGGGGGGCAGGAATGGTCTACTAATTATTACGAAGAAATGGAATTATCAGGATAATGACCCTGAGGAATTAATGACAAGTTTTTAATCTAAGCAAAACTAAATTAAATAGACATCAAGTTAATTTAATTAATGAATTTATTAAATTAATTTAATTAAGTAAATAGAAGGAATTGTAAATATAAAAATGAGAGAAGCTGATGAAAATTCATAAGAAAAAATGGACATTCAGGGGGCTCGCGTTAGTCAACGAACGAGTTTACATAAACAGTGAAATATACGTGAGAAGTGTGTAATTGATAAAATATGGGCGGGTAACGGCTCTCACGGCTATTCATGACTGGCCACCTGGACTGCTCTTGGAATATTTACCGCACTCTTTACCTGCAGTCCCCATATTGAGAATGCTGATTTCCCCGAAGTACGAGCCGGCCTTCAGTGTTGCTAGCACTGTTTTTCCGTTATCAGCGACCACTTGCAGGCGGCCCCTGTTCACGATGTACATCTCCTTTCCCACCTCACCTGCGAAAAAAAATATGAAATTCTTCCGTGAGGAATCCAAAGCCACCGGAGGGCCCATTGCAATTCAACGAGGATTGGGAGAGCATTCACCCTTTCGACAAATGTAATCCCCCGGTGAGAACAGCACTGGCCTCAACCTGAGGACGAGTTCACAGAGAAAACCGGCTTCCGTATTCTGGAATATCTCCACTCGCCTCAGCGTGTCCAAGTGCACATTTATCGCAATCTCCGCCTTGAGTTTGTCTGCAATACAAGAACGAATGCTTCTTCGTGACGCTGATGATGGTGGAGTGTGAGCATGAGCTCTCAGAATTTTTGAAATAGCGTGGAGCCAAGTGGCTGGGGTTATTCGTTGGGAAACGAGACATTGATCGATAATGAGGGGTTTAATCTACTCACCGGGGAGACAGCTTACAGCTCTCTCCTCGTCCGAGCACTTTTGCGTCAACCACAAGTAGTCAAACCACTTGATGACCTTGACCTGAAGATGATTGGGCACTCGACGCATTCGCATGTACGTCTTGACGCCGTCAAGTTTAGCTGGAAGATGATAAATCACGGGGGAATTATTCAATGGGGGGAGGATTGATTGATTGAGATACACTCGTGAATGGCAAGCCCATTAGAAATTCGTGGATGAATTCGATGAATTATTGAGGTATGAAAGGGGTTCAATGGAAAATGCACTCCAACGAAATTTGATATTTTCACAAGAATACATTGCCAACTGCTAAATATTCATTGGTTACTTCTCCTAAAACGACTTTATACCTCCGTGTATCCCATAACATTACTTTTACTCTGGATGTTTGCGGTTGTAACAGTAACTATAAAGCTGAGTAATAAGAAAGCAATCCTGGAAACTAGATTCACCGGGTTCACGATGGGAATTTAAATGAATTGCCGAAGGGCAAAGATCTTCGATGAAAAATTCATAAAAAACCACATTCGATAAAAAGTGCATTAAAACCCGCGCCAAAGTATTTTTGAAATTCTGTTAGATAATTCTTTCGACACTCGTTGGGACCTACGGCGCCGGCGGGTCATTGGACCTATTCCACGAGAGCACATTCCTCGTTTATTCCCCCCCCAGACATATCCTGAAATAATCCTTACAGCCTCGAGAGTGCCGAGGGTGCATGAAACGAGGGTTGAATAAGAGGATGGAGATTAAAATCATCACCCAGAATTTTCAACCCCGAGTTACATGATCCGAACGAAGCAGAAGAAGCCGTGATGGCATATCATAAATATTCTAAATTCCATTTGACGACCTCAGAGGAGGTGATTTTTTTTTTCCTGATGTACTTTTTCCACTGGAATTGCATCCTCCATTACTCTTTTTGCAATTTCATCTTTAATCTGGCTTATTCCGTGTATAAAGCGGTTTCATTTGCCACTTGCGAGATAACGGAATTTCTTTGCTTCATACAATGGCCTCTACCAGACATTGAATTATCGCACTTCTTTGTACAGTGGCAGGTGAAATATTGGCGAATGATGCGTTGAATGGTCTTGTTCATCACCCATAATTATTGGCCAACTATTCCAACTGTTTGCTAAAGCGATAACATTCTTTGAATTATGAAAATGTCTGAAAAAATGAGCCTGTTACCTTGAAATTCTTTACGTGCTGCACTAACCGAAGTCACGATATTAGCAACATGACCGAGAACTGTGGCGAATAGCAGTAGACCAAAGAGTAGTTGAGCTATAACAAACAAATACTCGCCCTTGCTTCTTGGCCTGTAAAAGAAAGTCAGAAAGAAAGAAAGAGAGAGAGACAGAGAGAGGGAGGGAGAAAAAATGGAGAATGATAATTGTTGACGTTCAACTATATGAATAAAGGGATAAGTACCTCGGCAAATCGCCTATAGTGGTTAGTGCCAATGTACACCAGTAGTAGCTCTGGAGATACTGCTTAACAACGTCCGCCTCTTCCGAATCGTCGAACACCCAATTTTTGCTCCCAAAACCATTGTTCTTATAAATAATGTGGTAGAGGCACCCGTTCCAGTGGAATATTACAAGGAGATAGTGGACCAGGGAGGTAGAGCGAAATAAATTCGGATAATTTGTGTGTCGCTCGGTTCTGTCCATGAACGCCCAGAATCTGTTTTGGAATGCAGAGTAATGGATTAGAATTGGAATGAACGCTGCATTCTGCATTATGTGGTGAAAAATACTTTTGGTCAAAGAGCGAAATTGTCACGTGCCAGCGAGGAATTTAATCCAGAGAGAATTTAATTGAAATTACCGATAGATTTTAACCAGTCTAAAACTCCGCAGGATACTGTTAAATCCTATTGATAAGTACAAAAAATCGAGGGGCAGCAGACACAGACAGTCGATGTAGAAGGTCGTACTATTCATGTAGTGATTTCTCAGTTTGACAGCGTCTGTCTGCAGTACACCGTCTTCGAGGTAACCCGTGCGAAAGTGAAAGACTATGTCGACTAGGTAGAGAAGATCCGAGAAGTAGTCGAGGCAGAACCAGACCACGAGGGTTTCTCCTGCGTACGAGATGGAAAAAAGTGTCAATTCCGATTGATCGTCTTGACCATGGCCTTTGGAAATTGACGGAAATATGAGTGCTGGACTAACCGTTTATTTCCTGAAAGGCAAACCTGTAGATAATGACCCAAAAGTTGTACAAAAAAGCGAGAGAGACGACCATTGACCAGTAATAACAGAGTCTGCCGGCTGGATCGAAGACGAACGACCAATTTGGTGCACCCGTTCGAAAACCCCTCGTGCCCATTTGTCCGGGATATCCTCGGCTGCCGCGCTGCTGCTGCTGTTGCTGTGCTGTATACCTCCTTAAACCCACACAATACGACAAGATGAGTAATCCTGCGATAGCGATGTGATAATTTGCATAGACAAATTGACTGATCTAATGTCATCACTGATTTGACAATGCGACTCACGTCTCGGTGCCGTTGCAGCTGCCGTTGTTATTAAGGTGATTCGTCGATACCAATGTGCGAATGTGTGGGCTCTCCCTCGTCGAGCCGAGGCCAGACACATTCGGAAATTTTAACTTGCCCCTTGACTGATCCTTTCGCCTCGGCTTTCTGCTGAGATCTAGCTCGCTGGCGCCCCGATTAACGTATGCAGCGTGCAACGAGTCTCTCGACGAGCCGAAGTATCTCTGGGAGACAGAATAAATCTGTAAAAGTTTATTCATTCCATCACTCATGCATTTCTACTGGAGAACGTGTACGCGACAGTCTTTAATTCTAGTTTACGTCCGTCGTAAAGCAGTTTTTTTTTATGTGAAAACAGCGTTTAATACCGTTTTTCAGGGGAAAACGAGACAACTGCCCTGATTTATCTGTTTTTCATTCGAATAAGTGCATAATTTCCTTGGCAAGATTTTCCTGTTCACTTTCAATTAGTCGCGTTTGTATTTAAAACTCGAGGAGATGAGTGGAAATCTCTTACTGCTGAGGGGGAAGTTGAGAGAGATAATCCGACTTAAAGTGCTTCAACTACTTTCATAATTGATTCTAAACCGGTGAAATATCGCGGAATTAATTGGATGTGATAATTGTCCCTAGTTTGCATTAATAGAATTAATATGTGGGATAATAACCTGCTGCTCCTGACGACCTCGCGACTGATCCTGACGATTCTGGGCCGGGTGGTAGTACCTATTCGGTGTGGGATTTCGCGATATAAATCTCCCACCAACGAAATCTAGGAGACTCTGGCGAGATCTCGACGCTGCACTCTCAACACTCTTTGAGTCATCTTCGGAGCGCAATATTGCTTCCCCACTCTTGAATTCAGTCCTTCCGCCGCTTCCTGGATTCCCTGAAATGAAAAATTGCCGGTTTTTCGTTGACAAAGTTCATTAAAATTCACTATCAATTACTTTTTGTTGACTATTTTGAGGGATTTTAATTGAATTCAAAGTGGAGATTAATTTTAAATTGAGTATCTCATGAATTTATCCGACAAAATGGCTCTAAATTGCTTCAAGTGGACTTCTCGAAACGGATATGAAAGAGTAATTAAATGAATGGAGCGTTAATCAAAGGCCTGATAGGTTCGAAAATTGACTTTCAATTCAATTTCTGATTTTACGTCCAAAAAAGAGATTTTTCAGTGACAAAATTCGCTAAAATTAAATTTCAATCAATTTTAGTTGACTCTTTTCGATCCTGAATGTCTCTTTCTCATGAATTCATTCAGCAAAATGAGTGGACTATTTTGAGTGATTTTAATTGAATTCAAAGTGGAGATTAATTTTAAATTCAGTATCTCATGAATTTATCCGACAAAATGGCTCTAAATTGTTTCAAGTGGAAAATTGACTTTCAATTCAATTTCTGATTTTACGTGCAAAAAAGAGATTTTTCCGTGACAAAATTCGCTAAAATTAAATTTCAATCAATTGTAGTTGACTGTTTTCAATGTTGAATATCTCTTTCTCATCAATTCATTCAGCAAAATGAGTGGACCTCTCGACGCTCCGATTATTCATGATACAATTGCATTCCGATGGCCCGTAATCCGCATTATTCTTCCCGCACGTAGTGCATACATTAGTATAAAATGAAATTGTTCAGATTGGAAACGATAAAAGAGGGAAATTCCCCCAGTGGGTTTAACTGTGGGACTCATCGATATTTGGAAAATGGCCAATTTGAGTGGTCGGTATCAGTGTGTGTGGATCCATCGATAAAGTTAGGAGGCCTAGTGCTCTGGCGTTTGGCCAGAGCATTACCAATGCTGGTTCATCGATCAGCACGAGGAGCACTGGTCCACCGTGTTTCACCAGTGGAACGCAAATTCGGTTAATAAATGACGGGGGAAAGCCTGTGTGCTGGAGCGTTCTGAAGAACGAGATGAGAATTTGTCCGGGTGCGATGTTGTTTAATGAAATTTCGTCTGGGAAGTCTGCACCAGTGGCTGACAAAGAGAATGGGGATAACGGTGGGACAGGAAATTACGGGATTAACGGGAATCTCGTGTGGTCATTCATTCACGCGGTTTTTGGGCGCATGAAGTACTCGGTCTTGCTGGATGAGGAGCGTCAGGGGAATTACGCGATAATTCTGAAGAATGAATTTTTTTAGGAGAGAATAGAGATGGAATTCTCATTGATGAAGTCCCACGAAATAGACGAAGGCAATTCCACTTGTGCGTTTGTTTTAAGGTCTCTCTGGAATGAGATATTCAAAATAAATTGAATTGATTTTTTTTTCATATAGAGGAAGTTTAAAAAAGCCTTTTGTCCATGTCGTTTTTACCATTCACTATCTCGAAAAAAAATAATAATAATGGAATACGTTTTTACAACGGGTGATGTTGTTCATGTCAAATATCCATTTCCATCTGCAGACAAAATACAAATGGAAATTTTATCAGATTTCCCGAGGGAATATTGAGCTGTTAAATGGTGAAATTGGAACGTCCATCAGAATCCGCGGACCAGATTTTTGTAAATATGGAATATGAACGAGTCGACGATCGATCGTATGGCTAGTTGTTCTTATTCGTATTTCTAGAGAATAAATTGAAATATTATTTAATCACATGAATTATTATTTTTCTATAAATACCTTCGGGGTCTAGGGAAATTTTCCTAGAGGTCTTCTAGAAAAACGTACAATTTTGAATACCATTTCTAAGCTTTATCTCTTTATGTTGATCGAAATGTGCATTGTACGAATCAATTTGGGGAAATGGGAAAAATCGGAGGTTGAGTTTGAGCCCACGACTCCATCTTCCCCTTCAAAGTGACCCCAGACCCATGGAAATCCCTCCCCCAGCCCCTAAAAATCTCCATAATCACTAACCCACTGAGGTATTGCTCCTGTTCCCGGTCGCCAGCAGCGTCGATCCAGGCGCAGTTGGCACAGATGCAGCAATACTATACAAAGTCTGTCCACTTCCATACTTCAAGCCCGGACAGTGGCAGGGAGTCGTCGGCGTTCCCCCGACCACAGATATCTCATCAAGCTCGTGTCCACTGTCATAATGACACAATCTCGTTGCACTTGTGCTTGGTCCACTGGCTCCAGCCCCTCCCCCACTCTCATTACGACTGCTGGGACCAGTACCGCGGCCCCTGAGCGACTGGACAAGCCGCTTGGCCCCCGAAGACATTCCACGGATGTAATCCAGCCTTCCAAAGGTCGCCGCAGCCGCTGCCGCCGCCGCAGCCGCGTACTTCCACACTCTCTCCCGACAGTCCCTCCTCTCCTTTCCAATAATTCCCCCGGTATTATCACTCGCTCCAACGATAATCCTCGATCTCTCAGTGCACTCGACACAAAGACCCATTCATTTCCATCAGCGAGTCAAAAATTCTTCTCTCATTCCAAGTTTATCGTCATTCGTTGACATGTATTTTCGTTCAGTTTCGCGAGGACATGTCCAGCGACTGGACATTGCGCGTTTGTCACCGGCGTTGAGACAGCTGTCTTTCAATCATTTTCGAGGGGTAAAAAATGTTAGCCGAGTTTTTTTCCTTCTTCGTCCTCTTCGTATGCCATCAGCCACTTACGTCACGCTCGAGCAACAAGTGTCCTCCATGTACCAGCGATTCATTTCCCATGCGTCTCGAACCAATGATCCTTATTACTCAATTGCCAGGGGATGTCTCTGTCACCTAGGGATCAGAGAAATTAACATCAGAATTTCTCGGAACTAATCATTTCCCTCGATCGATCACCAATTTCTCGCTTTAATTTTTTTTTTTTTTCCCCTCGGCAAATTGTTCGCTCGGTTTAGTGTTCATTGTTCTTTCTCGTTTTGACGCTTCTATCGGCGATGTCGGTGGTAAATAGTGGCACGTTCGACGGGTAAACGTCCGTGGATCCTGAAAGACGGCGCGCCACTGGCGAAAAACTCGAAGCGAAAGCCCCCGACGTTACCATGGCGACCGGTACGACGTCCCGGTCCAAACGACCCCCGGCATCCATCTCGCGCTAACTGAAAAACCTCACACTTTGTGGGTTTTTTTTTTTTCTCTTCCTCTAGAGTTATCTTTAATGTCGAATACCTACCTCGTAACTGCAGACGTGGCTCGTGCCAGTGTTACTTGCAGACGTAATTATTTCGGATAATGAGGGACGGGGAATAATAGAATTGTGACCTCTTCGGAATTTCCTAGGGACGAGAGGGCTTAATTAGGTCACGACTGAGGTAAAAATAAATGCTGTAATGAGGTGCGGTTAATTACCTGGTGAGAAAATATGTCAAGTTCTGCAAGGGGTGGGGGGTAATCGAACACGTGGAGGGTGAGTGGGAAAAAATGGTGAATTTTATTTTGAAGAAGAAAATTGGATTCGACACTTTGGATTCAATTTTTTATGAATACTTTTTTGGAAAATTAATTTTTGGGAATTTTTTTGCAGAGATAAATTAGATTTACATTTTAGATTTAAAGTGAAAGCAAAAAATTGATGAAAATTTCACTATTTTTTCTCAACTCATCTCGTTAAAATCAAGATATTTCAAAAAAATCAAGTGAAATTAAGTTATCCAGTTTCCCCACTTCTCTATGGAATCCCATTAGCCCCAACTCCTCACAAATCTCTTCAAGATCCTCTCCTTTTCCCCTCATCCTGCACCTCCAGACGAGAAATCAATCGAAGCCCTCAACAACAATGAAAAAAATTGAAAAAAAAAATACTATTCACTTACATGTACTCAACGGGAACGGTTGTACGGTCATCGTGTCCCTGAGGCGTGGAAAAATCCCTCCGAATGTCGTAACGAATTCCGGAAATCCCCGATGAGATGACAAATGAAATAGCGATACGACACTGATGATAAAAAACATTGATAAACGCATTTAATGATGATTAATCAACGCACTTGCGTCCGCCATGGTGTCTCCCGTATTCCGTCCTCATGATAGTCACCCCTCACTCCTTCGCGAGTGGAAAAAGCCGCAGTGCTCAGTAAAAAATTGCCCCGCAAATAGGCTGACGCGACACGTCCAAATCCCCTTTCAACGGACAATAGTCGTTTAACCACTCGTCTTAATCCCATTTTCACACCATTAACTCCAATCGCGAGACAGATAACATTGGATATGCGATTAATATCCCGAGATGGCGCGTCTCAAGCCAATAGACATCGGATGTTATTGAACTCAGCATCATCAATATTTCTCGGAGGGGGAATTTTTTGCGCTTTAAAAATGCAAGAACACTGTTAATTTCACTGAACACTCGTTCTATTTGCGGATGCTGAGGGATGTTTCTTACTCTCGGGCACTCGCACTACTGGTGATGCTTTTTCCTCATGGTTTCCCCCCCCCC